GAGGAATGTTCTCCTTACCCCACATCCTCTTCAACATAAGCTGTGATCAGTGTTTTTGATACTGGCTATTCTGATAGGTGTAAGATGGAATCTCAGCGTTGTTTTGATTTGCATTTCTCTAATGGCTAAAGATGTTGAGCATTTCCTTAAGTGTCTTTCAGCTATTTGAGATTCGTCTGCTGAGAGTTCTCTATTTAAGTCTGTATCCCATTTTTTTTTAATTGGCGATTTCTCAGAAATTGCACTTACTGAATTACAACAATGGTGTTTTTTTTTTTAAATCCCTTCATATAAGAAAGCTATCAGGGTATATAAAAGGCGATGGGTCACATGCTTCTGGCATTAAGACTCTATCCTGGACCAGTTGGCAGGAGGTGTCTGGTTGGCCAGGCCCCTGAAAGCGTCTCTGTCCTTCGTAGGCGCCAGAGTGATGATATGTCTCATGGTCCTCAGCAGGTGTTTCATGAGCCCTCATCCTGTAAGGAAACCTAAGAACCCCAATGGGTCAGAAAAGACAGACATGGAAGTGGGAGGGAGACCAGCTGGGAAGCTGATCTGTGGACTGGAACAGAGAAGAGAGGTTCATGGGTCACTAGTGAGTGTGACCAAACTGCGGTACATGCAGATATGAACATCCATTGTGAATAACATGCTGCTATTAACCAATGTAATGTATTATGATAAAAATTAGTGCAATAGAAAATTAACTTTTTTTGGGGGGAGGAGGGAGACAGGATCTCTCTACATAGCCCTGACTCTCCTAGAACTCAGTATGTATGACCAGGCTGTCCTTGAACTCACAGAGATCCATGTGCCTCTGCCTCCTGAGTGCTGGAATTAAAGACGCGCGCCACTACATCTGGCAGAAAAGAACTGTTTTTAAGTGAACAATTTAATTAGCACACTTGATGTGGGAGTGTCATATATCAATCTGTTGATTTCATTGGTTAAGTTATAATAAACCAGCTGCTTGGCCTCATGGCTTGGAACATAGATGGGAGGAGTAAACAGAATAGAATTCTGGGCGGAAGAGGAAGTGAGGTCAGACTCTGCTCTGCTCCAGGAGAGACCCGACAGCTCTGCTGGAGCAGAGACGCCATGCTCAGCTCTCCCAGGCAGATGCACGCAATGAAGCTCCTCCAATCCCGGATGGATGTAGGCTAGAATCTTCCCAGTAAGCGCACCTTGGGGTGCTTACACACATCATTAGAAATGGGCTAGTCCAGGTGCAAGAATTAGCCTGTAAGGGCTAGAGTTCATGGGCCAAGCAGTTCTTTAAATGAATACAGTTTGTGTGTTGTTATTTCGGGCATAAGCTAGCCAAGCGGCCGGGGTGTTGGGGACGCAGCCCCGCCGTTCATATTTCAACACACACTCACTTTTGTGCATACACCTCTGCTAATCTGAAGTGTGTGTGGATTCCTTCCTGGTCTCTCTCCCTTTTCTGACCAACCATTGTGTCTGTCTTTGTAGGACGACTCACTCTGGGTCCTTCAAATCATGAAGATGACACTCTTTCACTTAGCATGATGCTTGTCAGGTTCTTCTGGAGCATAGCATCTATATTGATTTGAACTTCACCCTCAAAATATCTAATCTTGAAAACAGATGCTAATAACAGCATCTTTCCCTCCACAACGAACTCACAACAGACCAAACCAGTCCTGGACCTAGATTGGATTTAGGACCTAAAATGGCAAATTGGGTTCATGCTGCCTTTATCTAATGAGAACAGGACACTATCCAGTTCCTGATACTTGGCATTCTACCCACAAATGTTTACTGCAGATGAAAAGAGTTCAATAGGGTATCGGAGGGCAAAAGTTACAGAGTAGCTTTCCCTTGCATGATTTATTTGCTTGTATCTACAAGAGATAAGAGTTCAAGTTTGCATTGATCAAAAAATTGAGAGTTTGTTGAGAGGGCACAGTTTGCTTCCTATTGCTTGAAGTAAGCTAGCTCTTTTTCGGAGCATGTAAAACAGAAACATGGTGTCCACAACTGTCACCATGGTATCAATCCTACTGTCACTTGTGGTATCCCTTGTCCCTAATTCATACTAGGGAATAAGTCAGCAGAGAAAACATTCCAGGGACTGCCATCACTGAAGAAGGCCAGTTTAAGTGGCTATGTGCTTCAGTCACTGACCCTTCCATAGGTGCCACAAGGTGGGTATGGTCAACAGCCTCACTTTCTGGAAAAGAATACTGAGGCCGGGAAAAGTGAAGGAACTGCCCCTCCACCTCTGTGTCACACTGCTTTCTGGTCCTCTGTTTCCATGGCCATCTGCATAAAGATGCCCAAGGCAGCAGTGCTTCCAGAAGGTCTGCCTTCTTGTCTCTTGTCTCCACCCACTTTCAGTTGCTGCCAAGCGATCTCTTGCAATAAACTGTCTTCTGACCTGCCAATCATCTTCCGTCCTGTGCCTGATCTAGATTTAACCATCCCGAGACTCTTTCCTCCTCCAGGTAAATCTCCTCCTGCACCATCTCACACAGAAGCCACTGGACTCTGAGCAGATGAGATGTGGTCACTCCTGATTGACGTTTGTTGTAATGTCAATATAAATGGCTGTATTTGGAAGAACCTGTATCAAAACAGAGAACAATACATTTCATTAATGAATTCACCATCATTACTAACTAAAACTTACAGGACTATAGTTTGGATATAGTTTTTTTTTTTTAAATAACTTACTTATTTCATGTACATTGGTGTTTTGCATGTATGTCTGTGTGACGGTGTCAAGTCCCCTGGCACTGGAGTTAACAGACAACTACGAGTTGCCATGTGGGTGCTGGGAATTGAACCTAGGTCCTCTGGAAGAGCAGTCAGTGCTCTTAACCACTAAGCCAACTCTCCAGCTAGTTGCTTTTTTTGTTTTTTTTCTTCTTTTTATTGTTTTTATTGGACTATATATTTTTCTCCACTCCCCTCCCTTCCTCCATGCTCCTCTTCTACCCTCTCCCATTGTCCCCATGATCCCAATTTACTCAGGAGATCTTGGCTTTTTCTACTTCCCATGTATGTCTCTCTTAGAGTCCTCATTGTTGTCTAAGTTCTCTGGAATTGTGAATTATAGGTTAAAGTAGGCTGGTTTTTCTTTGCTTTATGGTAAAAGCTACTTAGGAGTGAATACATTTAATATTTGTCTTTCTGGGTCTGGATTACCTCACTCAATATGATGTTTTCTAGATCCATCCATTTTCCTGCAAATTTCAATATGTCATTTTTTTCTGCTGTGTAGTATTCCACATTTTCCTTATCCATTCTTTGGTTGAGGGACATTTAGGTTGTTTCCAGGTTCTGGCTATGACAAATAATGCTGCTATGAACATAACTGAGCACATATCCTTGTGGTATGATTGAGCATCCTCTGGGTATATACCAAAAAGTGGTATTGCTGGGTCTTGAGGAAAGTTGTTTCCTAATTTTCTGAGAAACCACCATACTGATATCCAAAGGGGATGTACCAGTTTGCACTCCCATCAGCAATGGAGAAGTGTTCTCTTTACCCCACAACCTCTTCAGCATAAGTTGTCATTAGTGTTTTTGATCTTGGCCATTCTTACAGGCGTAAGACTGGGTTTCTTGGTAGCTTTGGAGTCTGTCCTAGAACTCACTCTGTAGACCAGACTGGCCTTGAACTCACTCTTCCACCTGAGTGCTGGGATTAAAGGCGTGAACCACCACTGCCTGGTTGGATATAGTTTGAACTCTGAGAGTTCATGAGTCACAGACTGAACTCCAGTATGGTGGTGTTCAGAGGTGGTAGAAACTTCAAGGGAAGAAGCATAATGGGAAGTGGTTATTGGCCCCCACTCCATGCTTAGATTCCTGCCCTGCTGTATGATCTTCGCCTCTTACTGATGCTCCACCACAATGCTTCCTGCCATGATTTCACAGATCTAGGGGTTCTGTAGTCAGTGATAAACTATTTAGAATCATATATTCCAAAACACTGGGATACATAAATTATTTTTCATACACCAAAGTCTCGGTGTCAACATTATCTGCATAGCAATGTTTGTTGAAGTACTCATAATTTGTGATTGCTAAGTTATAGAACCAACATGGGTATTGAAGAAAATATGGTATAGAATCTTTTCAGTCACAAAAGGGGAATGAAGTTATATTATTTGTAAGGAAATGGATGCAACCAGAAATAAGCAAATTAAGTCAGCCTCAGAAAGATAACTATTGGATGTTTCAGTTGTTTGTGGGTCCTAGTGTTGGTAGACACAAAAATTATTTATGTACATATGATATGACAGTAAAGTGAAGATGTCTAGGGGAATTGAGGGTACGAATGGGAAGAAGGAGGAGTGAAAGAGAAGGTAGCTTATTATGTAGGATATGCCCAAAGTACATTATATAGGTGCAGAAAGGTGGCCTTATGTAATCATACTTGAGTGTACAGAAATGGATACCCAGGTGTGTCGTCATGGCCATGTCTATACTCCAGTGTGAAGCTCTGGGCTTGGACAGAAGCAAGGCCAAGAGAGGTTTAAGACAGGAAGTCGGACCACATGTGCAATTTAGAAGGAAAAGTAGGGTGACCTAACTGCACTGTCGAAAGGAAGTCACCAGTGGGGTTCTGACACCGTGAGAAGCACTCCACACCTGCCACTCGCTCGCTTCACCTTGGAAAGATATTTCTCGTCGCCAATGCCCTGGTTCTGCTCACAGAAGCACCTATTGTTGTTTCCCAAGTACGAGCTCACGATGAGCTAAGTTCAAAAGAGCAAGGATGCGGCCTTTGGGAAAGAGATCAGTGGGAGACAGGCGACTGAAGCTGTCTGCTCTCTAGACTGTGTTGCAATTGGACTGACGCTACAGACAAGGACAGATGTTGGTTGTTGTCTTGCAGCATTTTCAAACTGGGATAACCCTTGTTAAATATTAAACAGCGACCTTGACTAAACACACGAAACAAATTTCAGTTTGTCCTCACGCTGTGTTGCGAACTCTGGCAGTAGGGATTTGGCTCAACCCAGCTGCACACACTTAAGAACATCTGTACTGCTGTCCTCAGGAAGTCCTGTCTTTTACTGAATCTCCCAGGTAATTTATGTTTAAATGAACCCTAGGGGCAGATGTGGAAAAAGTACTAATAATGACATGTATCTTATGTTTTTCTGTAGCAGTGTCTTACTAATGTAATCATACCAAACAATCTGGGAATCTCTCAGCAAATCCCAACCACACAGATTGCTGGCCTTGAATGCGCTATGTAGACTAGATTGGCCTCAGACTCTCAGAGACCTGCATGCCTCTGGTTCAAGAACGCTGAGATTAAAAGTGTGCTCTACACATGCCCAGCCCCACACAGCCCTATCATGTGGTCAACTGAAGTGTAAAGTTTTCTGCTCCTCTTTTGACACGTGCGTGTACACTGTGGATTAGATGTCACTCCACAATGCTCCGAACTCAACCTCTAGAGTGAGATGTAGAGACTGGATAGGGTTGGCTACCAGCCTGGTGCCCTAGTCTCTGCAGTGATAGATACTGCAAGCTGGGCATGGTGCTGAAGAAAGACGTCAGATAGGTCTGAAAGAAATAGTTGTACTCAGCCTGGTGGTGGTGGCATATACACACCTTTAATCCCAGCGGTTGAATCTCTGTGAGTTTGATGCCAGCCTGATCTACAGAGTGAGTTCCAGGACAGACAAAGGTACAGAGAGAAACCCCGTTTCAACAAAACAAAACATTAGAAATATTTGTATTCTCCACATAATGTTCATTATAAAATATCGAATGGAGAACATTTGACATGAATTTAACTACAAAAGTAATCGTAATTCTTCTCATTGTTATTAAAATCATAATGAAAATCACAGGCCATCACATACTCTAATCAGGGCCCAAGTGTAATTGATGGAGTTGAGCGGAGAGAAGATGAATCTCCATATCTCAGTCACATGCTTCATGATTTCCTTCACGTTACATGGTTGATCATGCTATGCACAAACACCGAGTTTGTTTAGTGAATGTACTAATATTTAACAATGCATCAAGGTTGGTGGAGTAAGCATATCTTCATTTGGATTCCATCCAAAGGTAAATTTGAGTGTAGATGTTCTGGGACACAAACACCTTCATGAACACATATGGACTCGTGAGGGGAATTCACACTCCAGTTATGATGTCTTCTCTCCACCCAACCTTTGGAGAGTTTGGTTTTGTGGATGAAGAAGCCCTTGCCTACTGAACATAAGGGGCCTCGAATAAACACAGTGAGAAGGAATGAGCGAACCATCCTTAACTCCAGAAGAAAATAGATAAGGTCCATTATAGACAAAGATGCTTTACATACACATCAAAACTACTTGGCCTGCTAACACATGTTATCGAACCTGTGGCAAGATGGCACAGTGAAAGCAATCTCCCAGACGCTAATGTAGTAAAATCGTTATTGAGCACCTGCTGTTTGTAGGACCTGATTCGCATGTGTTCATCAGCTTCTCAGTTGTGGGTTGTCCTTTGGGTTCATCAGCAAGTTAGCTTTGGTTTGATTACATAGCCAGTGAGAAAGCTTTTGCTTCGTTGTATTCTGTGACTTTTATAAGAGTGGAAAGTGGCTAGAATTCAGTTTAGATTATTTTTAGAGCAAATTGGAGTTAGTCTACAATTTAAATCCAAGTTGCTTCCAATACCATATTTTACAAAAAGAGAACAAAGCAAAAAGTTTAAATGTGGGGTTTTCATGTTTTGAAAGTGTTTGCTAAAGCACATGGAGACATATTTGGGTTGTACGAATTTTATGCTTAGAACTACAGCTACAGATTCTAAGGTTGTTTTAAATCGTTCCCAGCTTTAGTTTTCCCTATGTACTTTAGCCGAGTGTCTCACATATTTCTTCTCATGGTGTGTTCTCAGACAGGTGGAGAGGAGATGGAGGGGTGGGTGGGGAGGTTTTGCCTCCAGAGTGCTGGGCTGAAAGGTGTGCCCTGATGAATTTGGGTGGGAATGACTTTAGATTACATATTTAATATGTAAGAGCTGTTGCTTTTACCTATTTTTTCTCCTTTCTTCCTTTCAAAAGATGTTCACATAAGATGTAAGAAGTCAATAATTTCCTTAGAATCCGAGGCTACAAGAAAACGGTCACAGGAGAGTTTCCCCTGGTAAGCCTCCCTAAAACGGTAACTGCTTACCACAGGCCTTTCAAGCTTCCCTCCGGCTGCAGTGGTTTGGGCTTGGTGCCCTCACATGTTAATTCTGGAAACTGAGGCTGTGACATGATCTTGTTATGGGTTTACTGGAGAGATGAGCACTATCTTACATTTAAATGGTGATTCAATTCTTAAAATACGGTTTTATTAAGCACTAAGAAATTTTCTAAGTTTTTTTTTTTTTGCCAGACAAATTTAAGATGCAAATTTGAAAGATTAATTTAGAATTGGCCTCTCTTTAGAGATAGTTTTGCATGATTTCTGGGCTTTGATGCATAGAATATATACATGTTGATGTCGATTAAGATGGATGCCTCCTCTCTCTCTCTCTCTCTCTCTCTCTCTCTCTCTCTCTCTCTCTCTCAATCCCTCCCTCTCTCTCTCTTTTCTTTCTTTTTTTAGCATAATTTTTATTGATTCTTTGAGAATTTTACATCCTGCACCACAATCCTACTTGCCTCCAAGTCCCTCCATATCTGCCCTTTATCCTGCCATTAGCTTCCCAAAGGAAATAATAATAATAAAATTAAGATAAAAATAAAAAACAGTAAGGCCCGGCGGTGGTGGCGCACGCCTTTAATCCCAGCACTCGGGAGGCAGAGGCAGGTGGATCTCTGTGAGTTCGAGGCCAGCCTGGTCTACAAGAGCTAGTTCCAGGACAGGCTCCAAAGCCACAGAGAAACCCTGTCTTGAAAAACAAAAACAAACAAACAAACAAAAAACCCAGTAAGAATATTAATTAAAAACAAAAAATAAAGAAAAAAAACCAAGCTGGTCTTGACCTTAGAGATATGCCTGCCCCTGCTTCCCAAGTGTTGGGATTAAAAACAAGTGCTGCTGTACATCTTGCATTGAATATTTTTAAACATAATATTTTTTTTACTGATTCTTTGGGAATTTCACATCATGCACCCAATCCCACTCATTTCCCAGTCCATCCATATCTGACCCTCACCCTTGTAGTGTTCCCTCCAACAAACAAAAAGCTAAAAAATTACTACTAATAAAAAAAGGTACTTCACTTCTCATTTTTCCCCATTTCTCCATCACCTCTTCATTTGTCTCAGTGGCACTGGGAGCTGTGGTGTGTCACGCAGTAGATGCATTTGTCCAAACAGCTTTATTTACAAATGTTCACTGTAATGAGTGGTTGGTCTGGTTCAAGGTACACCATTAATGGTGGACCCTCGCCAGCAGTTCTCTTGGGTACCCTGTGGTTGCCCTGAGTCATAAAGACCCTGCAGCTATAGTTTACAGGACCAGGCCTTCATATCCTCCAGCAGGTCATAGATGGGGTAGATGTTGGATTGGGCCAACTCAAAGCTGTGGATGTGGGCCTGGGCAGTAGCTCAGTTGGTCAAGTCAGGCCTCCACTTGGACCTCTCCTGTCAAGCGAGGGTCAGAGCCAGCTTTCCTGCATCTACACTATTACGGTCAGCTGTCCCATGCCTGTGGTGAGGGGTGGGGCCAGCTTTCCTGAATATGGAGCCAGCTCTCCCAGGGTTGGAGTCTTCAGGGCCAGTGAGGGTTAGGGCCAGCTCTCTCATGAGGGGCAGGGCCAACACTCCTGCTGCAGCGGCTAGTAAAGGAGAGGGCCAGATCTCCCAGGGTCAGCAAAGGGCAGGACACTCTCAGCATGGTACTTGGATTTCAATACACATGACTCACTGATGTAGGTGGGTCTTCTGTCTATGTGTTACTTTCATTGGTCAAATAAAGAGACTGCCTTGGCCTTTGATAGGACAGCAGCTTAGATAGGCAGAGTAGACAGAACAGAATGCTGGGAGAAAGAAGCAGAGTCAGGCAGACAACATGCTTCTCCCACCCAAGATGGACGCAGTTTAGAATCTTCCCGGTAAGCCACCACTTCGTGGTGCTACACAGATTATTAGAAATGGGTTAATCAAGATGTGAGAGTTAGCCAATAAGAGGCTAGAAATAATGGGCCAGGCAGTGTTTACATGAATACAGTTTCCGTGTTATTATTTCTGGGGCTAAGCTAGCCGTGCGGGAGCCGGGTGGGACAAAAAGCAGGCTTGCTTGCCTCATCACTACAACTCACATGGCCCCAGTGGAAGAACAGGCCACAGATATCAACACAGACCCCCACCTGTAGCATGACGGCAGACCCAGACATAGCCCTCGGCAGCAGCTTGTACCCAGATGTCACCATGGACCCGGTTGACGGCAGAGGCCCCTCAGATCAGTATGTCCCCAGTGAAGGCATGGCTCTCAAATACCAGCATAGCCTCAGGTGGCAGCCAAGATGCTGGGCATCTTCAGAGCCGTTGGTGATAACAGGAGCCATGGACATCAGCACAGACCCTGGATATGGTAGGGTTACAGACCTAGACCTGGCCCTTGGCAGCTCAGGCCCTGGTGCCACCATGGCTCTGGGTAGTAACACAGGCCACCCACATCGCTGCATTGAATTTATAAGTTTCTTGTTTTTCCTTCATCAAGCCTGAGACTTAAATATGAATGAATCTTAAACAATCACCAAGTGTGCACTTTTTCCTTAGGGTAAGAAATTTTGAAAGCAGCTGGAACACCCTGGAAACCAGTACGCAGACTGCAATGCCTGGGGATGCAGAAGAGGCACACTGCTGCCTGTGGAAGCCCAAAGGGAGTAAACACTAGACATCATAGAAAAGGAGAGGAGCCCAGCCTGGTCCTCTTTGTGAAATGCACGATTAAACACAAGTGCATACAGGTTGAATCTGTCTATTACCCAATACTAACCTTAACCTAAATGACTCTGAGGCCACCTAAGCATGGCCCTTTCTACACTTACATGCTCCTGGGCATTTTTTTTAAATATTTATTTATTATGTATACAGTATTCTATCTGTGTGTATGTCTGCAGGCCAGAAGAAGACACCAGACCTCATTACAGATGGTTGTGAGCTACCATGTGGTTGCTGGGAGTTGAACTCAGGACCTTTGGAAGAGCAGGCAATGCTCTTAACCACTGAGCCATCTCTCCAGCCCCAGCTCCTGGGCATTTGTAAGTGGGTCCTCTGTGTGCCCTTGTGAGTGTGAGTGTGAGGACGTGGGTACATGTCCTATTTCTGCCTTACCTCTGTTGACACTGGAATAGGGTTTCCCAGATTAGGGTAGGGTATCTGTGATCACACACACCTAATGCCATACTAGGAAATTGACACTAGACTGACCTTCAGGGAGCAGGACAGGACTATGACTATGGGAAGATGTTAAGAGGAATTTTTTTTTTTCCTGGGACTCATGTGGTACAGATGGAATGGTTTGGTGAGGGTCTGGCTGAAGCCAGGCTTCTCAGATTAGTGTGTGGCAGGAGCATATGGACACAACTGTGTCCCATTGTACACAGAGAAAGGCAGAAGGAGAGAAGTTGGCAGCCCCGGTCAGCCCTAGAGAAAGCCTGTGTGGAGGAGGTTCAGACCAGAGGACCCTAGGAAGTGACCTCACTTTCTTAACAATGGTCCAGATGGAACTTGGAAACCTGGTTACCAGGTAGCCAGAGGCCAGCAGCAGCCTCAACTAAAGATGTTCTCCTGTTTCCAGAAATCTAGCCACTCAGGCCACAGAAAAGGCAAGGGAGGTGTCCTTGGCCACCTTTGGGGACGTTGGGTGTGCCTTCTCACACACCTCTGGCCATTTTAGAACAGGAAAGACAAGGTAAGATATGCCAGCCTGTAGCAGGAATCCTTTCCTGCCCTGCCTGGGGGTGTGATCCTCTGAGAAGACTGAGGAACATTCTTTATGGCCACTTCTCACTTCACTGTGTGGTAATGGGTTGTTGGTGTCTCTCAGAGTTTCCACATTTAAACCCTCCTTCCTTCCTTGGTCCTTCCCCAGGGTCAAATGGGCCTGGGCTCCCCACTTAAGCACCTCAGGTTTGGTCACAAACGGTCAGGCCTCCTGGAAAATGTGAAGTACCTAGCGACTGCTCTGAACACTGGCAACTATGACTTCGTCATGACTTTCCTTGATGTCTACCCAGCTTTTGCCACCACCTGGCAGGTGCTGGAGCTGATAATGAAAACGTGAGTGTCGACACCTGAGTTCCGGCCCTCGCGTCTCCCGGTTCGGTTTTTAGGAGGACACTGCTCTTCTCCAGGGCTGTGTGCTCATGTAGGATAAGAGTGATTGTACCCCAGGAGTGTTAGTGTGCTGTCTGACCCTTTAAAGTGTCATGGCCAGAGATTGAGGGCAGGGAGATGAATCTAGCTTGTGATATTCATTTTTTGTCCAAGAAGTGTCAAACACTACTCCTTCTTACGCCTCGACTAAAGTCTTTTCTCACTTGGAAAAGAAGGTTATAGACCTTATCTGGGTTATATGGGATCAATGGAGCCAGACAAGGATTCCTGCAGGGGCCCCAGGAGATCCTGTAGACTTTGGAAACCGAAAAGGTAGCAACTTGGGTTTCATCCATTGCATTCGTGTCCTTGAAGATCCGTGACCAGATGCTCATTCCCAGGCCCTCAACATGGAAGTCAGAAGAGTACAAAGAGCCCCCTGCACCCCTACCCTCTCCCTGGCTTCTATTCCTATACCAGAGTCAAGTACCTCCCGCTAGATCTCTGGGTGGGTTGGGGGACACAAAGCATTAGCGGTGACACACGCATGAAATTCCACAGGTATGGATCTTTGCAGTCTGACAGCATGGAGGATCAGAATACAAAGATGTGAGTGGGCTTTGGGTGAAGAGGGAGGTAAGAGCCCACATGCGGAGTGGGATCTTTGGGGTGGCTAGGACTGAGGACTAAGCTAAGCCATTCCCAGTCTCCGTGCTCTTGGGATTTCCACTAGAGAGATGGTACCAGAGACTTCACATGCAGGTGGAGAAAAGCAGAGATCGCCAACAGTCTCCTAGTTCTGAGAGCAGAGGGAAGGATGAAGCTAAAGGGCCCTAGAAGAATCCATCCCCACCACAGCCCAGCCCAGTTTGCCCAGTCTGTCCTCTAAAGGACAGAAATTGTCTGGAGCCCTGACCACTCTGCCCTGCAGTACCGGTGCTGGGCATCTTTTTCCTCATCTGAGGGACCACTGCTGTGTTGGTGAAGGGAGGCCAGGTTTCTGAATCTACTTTCTGCCAATCTGTATGCCTTCCTGCAGTGCCATAGAATTCTTTTTGGGACTGATGATGAAAACAGTGCCCCAGGATTTTAAGAAGAATCCAGACTGGGTCGTCTTGAACAAGTTTCTGATCTACCTGCGACTCCACATGCCCTTTTCCAACCTCCACCTTCACGTCCAAAAGCTGATATCACAGCTGGAGGAGCAGGAGTCCCAGGAAATACATGAAGAGGATGAGGAGGCCAGAGGTAGGTGCCTAAGAAGGCAGGAGTTGGTTTTGGTGATGGGTTGCACTTTGGAATTCTCCAGAAGCCTTGACCTGGAACCAGAGTTGGATACTGTTGTGGAATGTTAGTTTAAGGCATGTTACATTTGTTTATGTTGTGGAATATATGTTTAATGATGCAAAGATATGTTGCATTCTTTTATGCTGCATTTGTTTAACTCTGTAAAACTGTGTTATTTTGCCTGCCTAAAAACACCTGATGGGTATAACAAAGAGCTGAACAGCCAATAACTAGGCAGGAGAGAAAAAATAGGTGGTGCTGGTGGGAAAACAGAATAAATAAGAAGAGAAAACTAGGGAAGAGAGTAAAAAAAAGGAAAAAGAAAAGGAGAAGAGGATGCCAAGGGCTAGCCACACAGCCACACAGTCACACGGCCACACGGCCAGTCACAGAGTAAGAAAGAAAGGAAGTTATATAGAAGAAAGAAAGGTAAAAAGTCCAGAGTCAAAACGTAGAGAAACAGGATCATTTAAATTAGAAAAGCTGGCTAGAAACAGGCCATGCTAAGGCTGCGCATTCATAAGAAAGAATATGTCTCCACGTATTTAGTTGGGAGCTGGGCAGTACCCGCAAAGAATGAAAAAACCTGCTAGAGGACACCAGTCAGGTGATATGTCCTGCTGTGGGAGAGGAGAGTGGAGATTCTCTGGCATGAACAGATCTTGTGTGACCAGCAAGGTCATCTCTGGGAAGCCCCCCCCCCCAATCCTGGAAACTTCTAGACCGTCTCCACTAATGGTCCATCTCTCTGTCCTTAGATTGTGAGATCATCAGCACAACACTTCCCAAAGCCCCAGAGCAGGATACCTCAGGGAAGCAAGAGACACTGCATCTAAGTCCAGCTTCTGGGGCAGAGCCACAGGGAGATCTGAAAACTCAAGAGGACATTGATGTCGTGGACCCAGCGGCTGGGGAACCTACTAAGTCAGAAGCTGAACCAGCGCAGCTTCTGAATGTTGATCAGCCTCTGCCCACACCAGCCCATTCCCTAGATGCAGCTGCACGTGTCCCTCACGACAAGCTCTTATTTCCAGTATCTGTTGTGGGATTAGGTGACCCAGAGCCTCTTTTCCCGCTGCCTGATGTTGATATCTAGGCTAGGTAGTGGAATTACCGGCTGAGTTCTACGGAGAAGCAGCTCCACTCCTGTGTGGTACTTTAGAGAAAATATCTCTCTTCATTTTGTTTAATTCTTTTATATTGTTGTTTTCGTGGTTACTATTTCATTTTGTTTATTTTTTTATTGTTGTTGTTTTTTGTTGAGTCCTTATTTATGGTTTATTATTAATAAACATTTATTTGTTTAGTTATTAAATTGTATGGTTCAAGGACGTGATATCTGTTTCCCATGTGGTACAATCTACTCAGGTCAACCTAGAAGCTGCAGCCCTGAGCCGAACAGGTCAATCCTGGAAGGAAGACCCTTGCAGGTAATCCTGGCAACAGGGAAAACCGAACTGATGGTGTGGTAGAAAACGAGCAAATAACAGCAGTGGTGAGGAAACCAATGAACGCAAGTGTGAACGGACAGTCCTCTGCTCAGTGGCGCCCCCAGCGGACATAGATTCTGGGCTCAGATACACACTGGGGGTCACAGACATAGGTTTCCCATTCTCTCTGGGCTTCTTTTCTGTCTCTGGACAGCAGGGCCATGCAGGAAAGGATGACGTCATCTTACCTGTCATGGTGTTCATCATTCTCACCAACCCCGAGCCCAGAGCTGTGCGCACACTCACCGCACCTTGTGACACTGTCGCACCCCAGCAAACATGTTCAAACAGATCATTTTTATAAAGAATTGCCAGGCTTTCCCACAATTCAGGGGTTATCAACAAATGACAAGGTTGAGCCCATGGATGTTTTACATGTTTGTCTCTGGGCAATGGATTGGATGCAGTCTCACTGTTCACTGTGCACAGACAACCCTCCACAGGACAAAACTAGAGATCAGCATCAAAAATGGCTCACTGTGGTTCTCACGCGGGGCATACGAGAGCCTTCTACCACTTAGAGGGCACTGAGTGGAGTCAGGGACCTTTCAGGGTGTAGAGCAGCTCATGTGGGCTCTGATTAGGGAGGACACCCCCCCACGTACATGTACATGCACTCACGCACACACATGCGTGCTCACACACACACACACACACACCACACACACACGCGTGCGCCACATCATTGGCCACCTAGGCATGTGGCTTGGTGAAAGGTTATACACATCAGGCTAGTCCATGTCTCATCAAGAAGAAGTGAGCTGTACATGTCATCTGGTCCCAGAGCTGGCATGTCTAATGCCTCTGGGAACCTGGATACTCAAGGCAATATTGGCCAGGCTGAGGGAAAGCCCACTCAGGCTGCAGGTTGGAGACAGGCTTCTCTGTAGAACAATTTAAGCCTGTCCAGCACAGAGGGTAGAGACGGGACAGTAGCTAGAAAGGATGGCAGCAGAGGTCTAGCAGTCATCTCTACACACGGGGAAAACGAACTTGTCCATTATCAATGTGTGTAGAAAAATTTGAGGAATCTGTAGCATTATTAGTGCTAGGAAACCTAAAGTATTCTCGAAGCAAGGTAAATTCTCAGAGGGAAAATCAGAATTCATTTTCTGAGGTACATGAAAACGATATTCATTTGCTGCTTCATTTGTGGAACGACTCACATAAATCTTTGCTTATTTTTACATTGATAAAATTGCTCTCTGGGGCTGGGGGTGTGGTTTACTGGTAGAAGGCTTATCTATCTTGGCTAAAAGTCCTGGTTTGGGTCCCCAGAACAGAAAAGAAAAGGGAACTAAATAAAAAAAAAAACCTAAGATATAAAATGTGCTTCGGGTTGGTGAGGTGACTGGTGAGATGCTGGATGATATGAGTGTGATCCCTAGAGCTCAAATGATGAAATCTCCTGCCAGGTGTCCTCAGATCATCACAGGTGTACTGTGACCGGTGTGCTGCATGTGCGTGCGTGCACACACATGTACAGGCGCACACACACATAAGTACAATAATACACTCCTGCCAGGTATTCTCTGATATTCACCAGTGTACAGTGACAGGTGTGCACACACATGCATGTGTGTGCATGTACACACACACGTGTACACATACACAAATATAATGTGTCCTTTGAAATTCACTGGTGTACTGTGACAGGTGTGGAAGTGCACTCACACACACATGCACACACATGCACATACACACACAAATAATACATAAGGTAACAAAATTCAATTGTTTATACAAACTTATTCTTACCAGGTTTTCATAACTACGTAATAAAAAAGGACTCTGCCTTCCTCTGGCTTAATTTTTTGGGATTTTTCTTTGTTTTTCTAAGCCAAAAGTTGCAGAATTAAGCTCTGCAGTTTGGAGGGCGGAGTGGTTTCATCGACTTACAGCATCGTAAGTCGTGACTTTGAATAAGTTCCAAGACAACAGTTAACGCTGTTTCAAAAATTAAAATACGGTGCAGATCATTCAGGTCCCATGAGTGGATTTCCTTCCACAGTGAAAAGTCTTTGAGGGCTTTGCCAAAAGAATTTATTTCTTATACTAAACATTTAAAGATTGAGGTTCAAAGAATCAGGAATTTTGGTTTTTGGTCTTTTTTTTAGTTTTGGTGGTGGCAGTGGTTTCTTTTATCTTTTTCTTTTTTGTTTTTCAAGACAGGGTTTCTCTGCGTAGCCCTGGCTGAACTGGAACTCACTTTGTAGACCAGGCTGACTTCAAACTCACAGAGATGGGCCTGGCTCTGCCTCCCAAGTGCTGGGATTAAAGGTGTGTACCATCACCGCCTGGCCACAGGAATAGTTCTAAGAGGCAGTGTGAAAGATGAAGTACGTAACCAGGTAAGGCACACCACTGTGCACAAGTGGCCTCTTGGTGTGCACACAGTCAGATCCTTAGTTAAGGCTGTTTTCGTTAGCAGGGGCAGCGCTCTTACAGCGTGGACATCCAACTGCAATCATGTTATGGAGATCAGTTAAGTTCCTTGAGCAAAATGTTTGCTGACAAATCATAGGCAGTTACAGCACATGTCTCAGAAATTATGAGGGCTGTAGCGCCTCGCAGCTTCAAATCTAAGAGTAGTGAGACGCCAAAGGATGCATCGCCCCCTGCAGGCCATCAGGAGAATAGGGAGAAGTTGACTCTTGATAATGACGACTGCTCTCTCCCAGGAACGCATTGAGTCAAGGAGGCAGGAACTCTTCCCAGTTTCAGTGATGCTTTCTCTCTGTTGTTAAACCAGAGGTCTGGTTTTCTGCCTTTTCTTTGTTACTGGAGACTGAACTCAGCATCCTGCTCACAACAGAGACCCCCTAACTGCTGAACGATGTCCCCAACCCTTCCCACTTTACCTTCTGCCCTCCCGGTCTGGTGCCGCCTCAGTCACCAATCCCAGGATACAGATGGTTCAGGGCTAACAGTACCGCTTCAAATTCTAGCCTCCTAGACATCCCTCCTACCATGTCTTACAGGCTCTTTGTCATCAGACCCTCATGAGTCCTTGGCCTCTTCTCTTTTCTGGGATCAGGAGATAAAATAAGAAGCTGCCTAGGACACCTGGCCCAGTTACGAATCTCCATAAAGCTCTTAACGGCATGTTTGCAGTGAACATTGCCAGAAGCCTGTTGGATTAAAAAGGCAAAAGGAAGTCCTTAAACACAGGAATAATAGTTGACTGACAGAAGAGAAGGGACCCTGGAGTCTCTCTGTGGAGCCAGGTTGCGCCTAGTCCTATTCTGTACCCACATACCTGAGTAAGCAGCTCCAGACACAGCTTGAAAAAGATGGTGCCTGACCTGAAGCAGGAACAAGAGGCCCTGGCCCTGGCCCTCAGCCCAGAATTGTCACCAGGAATGTGTCCAGGAATGGTTATAGCTCGTTTCACTTGGCACAGATCGATTCGATTTAAAGGAAGAACAGGGGGGAAGGCTATTATCTTTAAAGGGCCACAGTGAACCTTCCAGGGCTACAGTTAGCACCCAAAGTGACAATCACTCCAGTCTTTACTATTTCATTGATTTGATATCTCTGTACGCTAATTTTTTCTTTCTTTCTTTCTTTCTTTCTTTCTTTCTTTCTTCCTTCCTTCCTTTCTTTTTTTCTTTCTTCCTTTTTTTATTTTTCGAGACAGGGTTTCTCCGTAGTTTTTGGTTCCTGTCCTGGAACTAGCTCTTGTAAACCAGGCTGGCCTCAAACTCACAGAGATCCGCTTGCCTCTGCCTCCCGAGTGCTGGGATTAAAGGCGTGCGCCACCACCGCCCCGCTCGCTAAATTTTCTTAAAACAGGCAGAGCATAGTACTCAGCTGTAAAAAAAAAATGACATTATGAAATTTGCAGGCAAATGGATGGAACTAGAAAGAAATCGTCTTGAGTGAGGTAACCCAGACCCAGAAAGACAAACATGGTATGTACTCACTCATAAGCAGATATTAGAAGTAAAGTATAGGATAACCAGGCTATAATCCACATTCCCCGAGAGGCTATGTAACAAGGAGGGCCCAAAAAGGGACGCACGGAACTCCCTGAGAAGGGAAATAGAAGAAGTCTCTCAGGTAAACTGGGTGAGGGGGGAAGGGGGGAGGGGGACGTGGGAACATGAGGGATCAGGTTGTGGGGGGATGGAGTGGGAGAGAAACGAAAGAGCTGTCTTAATGGGGAGAGGGGAGCATTTTGGGGTTAGGGAGAAACCCCAGGCCAGAGAAACTCCCAGGAAGCCACAAGGATGGCCCCAGCTAAGATGCCTAGCAATGGTGGAGAGGGTGCCTGAACTGGCCTTCCCCTGAATTAGATTGGTGACTACCCTGATTGTCATTATAGAACCTTCACCCAGTAACGGATGGAAGCAGATGCAGTGACCCACAGCCAAGGGCTGGCCTGAGCTCTGGGAGCTCTACTAAAGTGAGGGAGGAGAGATTGCTCAAGCCAGGGAGGTCAAGATCATGATGGGGGAACCCCCTGAGACAACTGACCTGAGTTTGTGAGAGTTCAGACTCTGGACGGACAGCTAGGGAGCCTGCATGGGACCCACCTAGGCCATCTACATGTGTATGACAGTTGTCTAGCTTGGTTTGTTTGTGGGGCTCCCATCAGTGGGATCAGGACCTGACCCCCGCACTTGAGCTGGCTTTTGGGCCTATTCCCCATGCTGGGTTACCTCACCGGGCCTTGATGCAGAGGTCCTGCCTTAACTCAGTGTGCCATGCTTTGCCTGTGGGAGGCTCCTTTCTGAACGAAGACGGAGAAGTGGAT